CATTTTTTGACCTTCTTGTGTGACATCTGTCATCCCTTCAGGACTGTTGTTGCCATTTGTACTTCATTGGGCATTTCAGCTGAAGAATTATCTTTTTTTTTGGCCATGTGCTGGTTTTTAAAATATTTTAGGTATTTATCATCCAGGATGACTTACCTGTGTTAATCATAATAGGAATGAAACATGGTAAGATTTTGATGATGCCTTCCAGAGTAACAACTAAAAATTTGTCAGAACATCTTTATCGTTGGAAGAGACCTCAAAGATCATCAAGTCCAGCTGTAGTTATAAGTAACAAGTAGCCATGCTCTACACTGCTTCATCCATTTTCTTTGAGGACTATGAGTCCTGGTTACAGATTCAGATTTTCTAATCGTCCTAACTAGCAAATAGTCTCTCTAATCCCAGGCTTTATTCTAGACAAGTTTTTTTAAAGGAGTATCTTATTTTCTAGGTCTTCCTCCTTCCCTTATTTCTCTCCCCCTCCTCTCTCCTCGCGCACACAAATGTAAGCTGAAGTCACAGCAATATTCTTAGTGTATACCTGTGAAAGTATGAAAAACCACCACCTTAGCATGTATTTCCATTCCCCGTTTAATTTTATACTTCAAACTCAGTTACATTTTGTGGTGTTTGTGATTTTCTTTTGATATTCGGTATTTCTAGCACTGTAAAAAGATTTTAAAATCTTAGTATGTTTATTTTTGTTACCTCTCCAACTTAACCAGCATCCCAGCCATAATTGGCCAAGAGAAAGTAAGGGGTTTGACCTCCTTAAAATTGACATGCTCTTAGAAGTATTGGAGGGGGTCAGCTTGTCTTACTGAAAATAAAGCAAGTGTATTGCTTGAGCTCACTCTCCTCATTTAGAATTGTCTTATCACTATATTTAAAACCAACACAATTTAGCTGAAGGTGAAGGGGAACATTTTTAATTATTTCTGAAGGCTATTGTTGTGTTCATCTCATAAGTCTACAGCATGTGAGTGTTATTTAAGGCTGTGTAGTTGCTGCTGTACTGAAATCTGAGTTTGATATTTTAATTGATAGTGATGTCAAGGTTGTTCTCCTTATGGCCCCCCTTAATGAGATATATAGACATTTATAATTTGTTTTAGTCTGTGTGTTACATTTGAATTCTTCTTTAAATAGTAGAACTTGGGATAGATGCAAACCTGTCTTTTTTTTTTTTTTTCCTCACTGTGTCAATATCCTGGAGGTATCCTTCTGGTGCTTTACTGTGCAATCCATGCTTGGTTTGGAGATAAATAAATCCCTCCTGCCTTAAAACAGGTTAAACTGCTAGTGGAATTGCCTTAAAATAATTCATAAGATGGTGAATTAATTGTGGTACGTGCATTCTGTTTGTAATGAAGGACGCCTTAAGAATGAAGTAGTATTTGTGTTATCAAATGCAGGTTTGAAAACTGAGATCTAGAACAACTTTCTGAAAAACCTAATGCAAGCAGGTTGGTTGTATAGTGCTTACTTTCTTTGTTCTTATCTGTCAGAGCCATTAGGAAAAGATGACTAGATAAAGACTTGGACATCTTAGTTTTCCTTCTCGAATACAATATGGAGAGCTAAAAATACAAAGTATTTTCCTGTTGTTCTTTCTGATAGTCATTTTAGTTTCCCTAAGAGTGTTAAGCAGTGATTACCGACGCTTATGAGGCAACTTCTCCTGATTAAACAATCGAACTGGAAAACTCTGATGTAAAAGGTGACTATTCCCCCGTTCTTCCCTTACCTGCCCCTGTATGTGTACATACATACACACACGCACACACACTTAACTTGCTGGGTAGACCATCTCCTTCATTTGTGTGGTAAAGGTTTCCTTTGTTTCCAGTTGCCTGCTGACGATGAGGAATCAAAGAACTCCTCCAATTGATTCAGATGCAGTTATTTTTTTGACACTAAGATTCAGTGCTGTACGACTATTTTTCCTTGCTTAGTTAGAATGTTAATTTGAAGTAGTCCTGTGTACCTATACCACGTGTTTTTTCATATTGTACTCATTTGTTAATTCTGTACTCAAGACACATACGGTGGTATACACTGAACATGAACAATAAATGTATTCCTACAAGCTGGTTTGAAATCTCCAGTTTTAGATGGGATTGTTGCTGTTTTTGAAGATGGCAGCCAAAAAAAAGTAAGCAATAAATGGATTCGAAAAGTGCAACAAGTATGTGAAATAGAAGTGGCAATATCTTCTGTGCCATGAAGATACGCCGTGACATTTGGTTCATCTAAGAAATCTGAGTAATATAATGGGGCTGTGGGAGAGAAGTGAAATGACTTAAAGAAGAAATGTTAAGCCAAAACCAAAATGTCAGCGAAGAGGATTTTGCTCAGAGAAGAAAAATATTCAGCATTGAATTTCAAGGTTTATTTACATAGTTTTGCTTTCATTGAAATAAAATGACATGTTGCTTGTATTTACCTGGGTTTTTTTTCTTTCTGTTCTCAAAGTCAGGAGTATAGATTTTTGCCTAGCTCTTAAATTAGTAATTTTATTAATGATAACATTCAAGCTTTAAGTTTTTCACCTTAATAAACTAAACTACCTTCAGGAAAAATAAGAAGTGGTAAGGGTGTCGACGACGCAGGTTTGTTTTATTTTGTTTTTGTTTTTTTAAACTGTGAGGGTACCTGAGCACTGGCACCAATTGCCCAGGATGGTTGTGGAACCTCCATACTTGGAGGTACTCAAAAGCCACCTGGACATGGTCCTGGGCAACTGGCTGTAGGTGGCCCTGCTTGAGCAGGGGGTTGGACCAGATGAGCTCGAGAGATCCCTGCCAACCTCAGCTGTTCTGTGGTTCTCCAGAAGTTTTCTCTGTGTGTGTGTGTGTGTGAAGGGGAAATTCTGTACCTTTCATTCCTTACAAATAGCAGCTATTTGACAGGTGCACTAATGTATGTAAGTATGAACTAATGTGCCTGGAACATCAGTGTCTTAATAGGGCACAGTCTTATGGGTGCCTAATTGAGATTAAGTATTTAGCTATTTGCTTTAAGCATTTTATTTTTTTTTTTATATCCTGGACTGGTACCAGGTATTCATTAGTGCCTATGACAGACTGTTTCTATCTAGTTCTTTAAAATATTACTATTCTACTATTTCTAAATGATCATCGGTGTGTGAATTCTGTTGTGTGTGTGCACACTGTGTAATGTGAAAATTGTTCTGCCCTTGGAGTCAACTGTCAGTCCTGCTTTTCAATCCATACATGAGACTGCAGTATTGTTGATGTATCGCATAGATGCGGAGAGAGGTGTAACTAGTGAGAACAGAAGGAGATTGATCCAATTTTCTGAGAATCAAAGACACTTCAAACTAGCATGGAAACCAAAAAATGAGGAAGGCTGATTAGGCAGCTAACTAGCTTTTTCTAGAGTTTGTGCCAATGGTACTTTTGGGCAAAAGCAATGGTTACCTTCGAGTACTTGCTGTGGTCATCTCCCTTTTTTTGAGAGAAAGCGTTATTTGTATTGTCCTAATCTTACCTGTCTTCAGAGAACACTTGCAGTAAATACTAGCAAATGTTATTTACGGTTGACTGTCTCCATCACAGTGTATTTGTTGTGTATCTGTTTTGACAATTGTGCTACTCCATCCAAGGGAGGAGGATTTGGTGTTCGGGTCGCCACGTAAAATGAAATATTTTCCAGGTTTGTCCAGAAGAATCTGTTGCTGTGAAACTTGAAGTCAGAGAGGCTGAGATTTGTGCGTGTGTCTCATAGCAGGGAAGTAAGGAATCTACTTTCTGTGGCTAAAGCTTTCAGAAACCCAGAAGGTAGCTTTTACATTTTCTTCTGCCTAGGCAGAGGAAAGGAGTCTTCAATGTTTTTGGAAAGCTCGAAGCATATCTCTGTGCCTGCATCCTTGAATGTTTTGTGTTTTCTTCTAATTCTGTGTCTTTCTTCTGTTGTAAAGTGAAGGCTTTGTATCAGTGCTCATTACTTAGGCTGTAATCTCTTTGTTTCCTGGTAACTTACTGCTCAAGTTCAAAACTTAATATTAAACGTATGGCTGTTGATCTTCAAAGATACATATTTGGCTTAGATGCTCACCTTCAAAATAACTAATGGAAGACTGAAAACTAGTTTCTGAGCACTATGAAAGTAACATCTGAATAACTTAATGACCTCAAAGCCACTTTTATTATACACAAAATATATTCTAGGAGAAAATCAATATCCTGTCCATACTACCTTTAATATGAAATTTGGTATTTGAGATCCTTTATGGAGTTGGACTTAATCTGCCCACTTAAGCCTGAAGGGGAATTTTGTGAAGATCTCTTTTTGTCTGTTTTTTTCCTTTGTGCTACCTTAGCTGTTCTGCAGAGGACTGATGGCAGAGAGGAATTGGTGTGCTAGATGAGACCAATGCTCATGATTAGGATGCCAGAGGTCCTCGTTCATGGTTGGATGCAGTGGTTATGTAGGGAGCAGAATTTTCAGGGTAAATGTCATGTAAAGACTACCCTCTTGTGTTAAGCAGTGAGGGAGTAGGTGATAAATGCAGACAAAGTAAAACAAACTCTCTTTTTTTAACTATAAAGTAGACTTTTTGGTGGGATATGCTGAAGTTGGGGTGAGTCTACCTGAGAAACAAGAGATTGGGTTTGCTTGTGGAGATGTATACTGGCAAATGAAGAAAAATAAATGTAAAATTGTTATTTAACAGCAATCTGATGGTCCCTTAATGGCAAGGATATCTGAAGAAAGCGTCCCAATAGCTATATTGCTTGAAATTAATAAAATTAGTGTTAAAAACACCAGCTAAAAAATTATATAATTTTGTGTATTATTTGGTATATTTACATTTACAAATCTAACACTCAACTGTTACAGCATTGTAACATTTTTAGACCCAAGGGCAAATGCTGTGATATTCAACCTTGTAGACCTGTGATCTGTGTGTGTTGTAAGCCAGAAGTACGTGTTTTATTCAGCAGGGAGCATGCAAAGATGGGAGGTAACGGATGCGGCTGCAGCAGCAGCAGCGTGTGAGCAGTACTCCGAGCATACGCTTGAGGGCTCTGAAGACTGAGAGGAATGGTACAGAAGAAATTGCAGTTGAAGAATGTATTTTAACTAAATTGGTGCATTGTACCTGCGCAGGGTTTAATGCTTGCTGGGCCATTTGGCTATTTGCCATAATTGGCTTTCCATTCCCTTGATTGGAATCATAGATAAAAATTTGCTAATCCACTTTCTTTGCTGAAGGTATTAGAAAAGTAATCCATCTTTTAAAAATGCTTGAGCAAAATCATGTGGTATAAAGAATACTTTATGAAATAATGAGATTAATGAGAACTGTAAGGCATATGCAATTTAAAACATTTTTCTGTGGTTTTAAGGGGAAAAATGCAACTTGGGCACCATAAAGCCGTTAAGTACTTCCTTTTTTTATGCACTGCCTTTTAAATGTGCATTACATGTTCTGCTTTTATCTACATGATAAAATGTGAGTATATATTTAGGAAGAAGGAACTGCTATTTATTTGTATTTCTCTTATGTTTGAAAATGTCTTATTCAAAGTTTTTGTGTTCTTTCTTCCCTCCTCCCTATTCTGCCAACAGGGCATCAGAGCACGCATTTTGGAAACCCTTGTAATGCTTATTCTTCTTGCACTGCTCATCCTTGGAATCGTATGGGTAGCTTCAGCACTCATAGACAATGATGCTGCCAGTATGGAGTCTTTGTATGGTACGGAATTCGAAAAACCACCACACTAGTTTCGTTTTAATTATGGAAATGGATGTTTTCAATTAAATGTATTTCTAGTAAATGCTGTATGAGTATTGCACAGGTTGTGAAGAAGCTGTATTAATTCAGTCCATACCATTTTTCCTGTTAAATTCATTTTTCGCATGCTGAGAAGTTCCATGCTCATGTGGGCATGATGTATGTTAAAAACAGGTGACTTCAGTGGAATGGAAGTAAAAGCTGAAGATATTTTTCAAGCTGAAGTACTTGAGGATTTAGTTGCTTGCAGGATTATTAACTAAGTAATTCTTAATTTATTCTTGAAAATACAATTGTTCAATCCTGAACACTTAAGGAAAGAAGTTAATTCAGTTGTGTTTGTGACATAAGTAGCCTATCTGTAATAAGCTAAGGCTGTGCTCAATATTTTCTTTACAGACCTCTGGGAATTCTACCTCCCGTATTTATATTCCTGTATATCACTGATGGGATGCTTGTTACTTCTATGTAAGTATTTTCCTGATTCTTCCAAAAGAAGAATGATTTTATGTATATGTATTTTTTTAAGATTAAAGGAAGCTTTTTCATTGTGAAAGTTGAGTGTGAATTTATTATTTTTTTTCATTATTAAGTTTAAATTTAGATGTAAATTTGTTAGGTTTGGGTTCTGAAGTTTGAACAAGTGCTACCTTACATTTTCAGGTTTTGAAGAACTTCACACCTCATACAAAATAATTTCAACTTTTAACTTTTTAAAGCAGGTATTTGAAAAATAGGGACTCCATTCTGCAAAGAAAAGCACAATTTTTAAATATCTGCAGGAGGTCAGAGAGAAAGTTATTTTGAAACAGTTTGTCCTATGTTCAGTAAACTATCCTCCTTCCTTTTTTTTAATTGACAATCTTCCTATATAGACAGAAGTTGGAACACAGTGCAATTAGCTTTCATAATCACAAAACTGATATCTGGCCAGTCTGAAGGTCAGTTATACAGTTGCATGTAAAACAAATGCAGTGAAAAAACCCCAACCTTACGCCAGCTGGTCCTAGCCAGAGTTCAGTCATCCATGTTTAGGGGAATAAGGAAGATGATGGAAGGCTCCAAATCTCACTTATAATGTCAGTCCCTCCCCTGCCCTCCCGGAATAAGTTCTAGAAAATTGCTGAGAGGGAGACAGAGCATCTCCCTTTCTAGACTATCATGGTTTCACCTGTTCTCCAGGCTTTATAGGTCACTGAGGAGAAAGGGTGGGGAACGATAGTTTGAAATGTCCTTGACACTAAGCAGATCTGTCTATGAAAGGTGTTACTCCCAGAGACCTCGGTGAGTCTCCTTAGGTTCTCTGTACATGGGGATACTTAAATCCACTTTAAGGGGTGGGGGCAGGGCGGGGGGAGGGGAGTAAAAAGTGGTTCTCAATGTCCTGTGTAGGCTGTTCAAGAGTGTGATTCACAATAGTTGCTGAATGTTTTAATGGGGAAGTTGGCTTACAAACTTCGTGCATCTGTCTTGCAGTTTGCTTCAGCAGAGCTGAAAACACAGCGTGTATACAAGCAAATCACTGAAGTTATTTAAGGCCCTATAAGCTGTTGTATCTGTGTAGCTGAAAGGGCAGCATACAGCGGTGGGAAAGTGGTAGATGCTGGGGTAGAGCTTCATTAGATAGATCTTCAGCTGGTTCAATTGCTGAAGCAGTGTATGAGTAAGGCTTATTGCAGTGGCGATTTGGGGCATCAGTTCCTTTCTCTTTTCTCCTTTTCCTGCAGGCTTCCTCTGTGGTAAAGAAAGAGTAGCTTAAGTTAAGCCTTTTTGAATACACTTGTATTTTTCCTGTAATACATAGTCATAGTGAAACACTAGTTAATAAAAAGAAATATAATCCTGACTATAAAATCTTGTATCCTCTTTTTTTTTGGCAATACTGTTTTATTATAATGGAAATGATAAATGTATATCCTCATCCATGCTGTTACAAATTCATTCTCTCTCCTACACACTTCAGTATTTGAAGGCTGTTCTCCCTAAGCTGTTGATTTTCACTAATAATTTTCTATTATCATGGATTGAACCTTTCTCCCAGCAAATGTATATGCACCATACCTGGAAACCATCACAGGCTATGATCATAAAGGGACCATTGTTATTTCATAGAAAAGTAGCTTAAAATCTGGTAGCTGAGCCTACTATCACCTGAAGTTGCAGTATAACTTTCAAAGCAAAGCAGCTTCATGGTCTCTTGACCTTAGAGCTAGACTATGTTAATAGATTAAATGTGCCTGAGATGTTGGCCATAGCAGTGGAGAGCTAGTGTGATTCCATCCATGATATTGCAGTTTGCAGAAGGTGGCTGTGGACGTATTGCCTCATGGCAATGGTTCCTGGACTGCATAAACTCCAGAACTGCACCTGAGAATTGTTTGGGAAAGTGCTAACTGGCGCAGGGCAAATTGTGCCAGGATAGATTGTTCTAGCAATTTACTAGTGTAGGCAATCAAGTCTTAATGCCCAGGAATGTATTCTGGCACTGCTGAATTTACTAGTGTAGTCATAGCCTCTGATGCCACATGCTTTCAATAAATATTTACTTGAGCAATTTTATCTCATTATATGGTGTTCCTTGTTGATAAATTCATAGTTATGCTCTTGGAGGGTAGAGATGCATGCCTTGTTCAAAATTCACATGATAGCAATGTGTTTTAAAATTCACATTGGGGTTTAAAGCTCTTGCAGTTCTCTTCAAAACCATGCTTGGTTATATGTGGAATAGCACATTGAACATCCAAATAAAAATTGGTCTTTGACTTACAAATCACTGTTTTGCATAATCTTTCTTCCTCTGCAGTATGCACACCAGTGGGACTTTCACGGATGTTTACAGTAATGGGTCAGTTACTGGTGAAGCCAACAGTAAGTGTTACACAAGTCTGTCCTCAGGTGCTATCTGTTAGAAGGTAAAATGGGATTAGGGTACTTTCTTTTAGAATGCTTGCACTTCTACATAATTCTCTCTTCAGTTTCTACAGTCAATATTTGTGTACTTGTTTAACATTTTTCATATAGCACAAAAGCCTGGGGTTTTTCTACAGAAATTTTTTTTTAATAGTATAGACTTCCTCTGATTTTTCAATTTAGGTAACTGCTACTAGTATTAATATGTATTGCCTACTGTGTCTGTTTTGCAAATTCCTGAGAAGCGTGGGCTTGTTCAAGTTCAGGAGCAAAGGGTACAAGACCAAACTAAGTCTGAATAACAAGAAGGGTACCTGGGGTTACTCTTAGATGGGTGAAATGTAGGTAGTTGGCATCTCTAAGAACTTATACATAGATAATCTGCTGTTCTTGTACTGAATACTGTGAGGGAAGGGAGCAGTTTGTACCATGTACAAGTGCTCTAGTGACTTTGCTGGCACGTTTCCTAGTTTGTATTTACCAAAATTTGGATGCACTTAGGTCTTGCATTCCTTTTCATCAGTCAGTTCAACCCTGAAGTTACAAAGAAAATATATACTTTTTTGCTCTCTGTGAGCTTTAAAGTCAAAGCACGTGATAGTAAGGTAGGCAGACTTCATTTATTTGTTTTTTAGCTTCCAATAGCAATTTATATTTGCTTGAAATACTGGCTTATGTGAAAAGTCACTTTTTAATATACTTTTTCAAAATCTGCACTTATTTTTGTTTAAATCAAATTGAGTGTGAAGGTTGATAGGTTGATAAGATTTGAATATAGGTGAGATGTACTGTCCCTTCCCCCGTTCCCTCAGTCTCTTTAGATTGAAACTGAACATAAGAACTTTAACCTGAAATGAAAACTTAACAGGAAGTTTGCTTACAGTAAAGAGATAGATCTGTAACAGAATGGAATAATTTTTTGTGGAGTTCTTACTTGTATCAGTATTGTCAAGTTGTAGACTATATATTTAAAATATAGGTTACTAGAACAAAATAAACCTGACTACATTAGTGCGGTCAGAAAAGCAAGTGACTCTGATACTCAGTTCATGTTTCTGTTTCCAAACACAGATCCTTGAAGACCTAGACGAGCAGATGTATATCATCACTTTAGAGGAAGAAGCAATTCAGAGGAGACTTAATGGTATGCTTGTTCTTATACTGCTTCAAATACAGTGTTTAGAGGAGAGTGGTTTTGGTCAGGAGTATTGATGTCACTGTTACATAGCCTTTTCTCTCAATAGAAAATTTCAACATCTTAGTATGTAATGAGCATTACAGGCTTACATTTCGTTGCTCACTGTGTTGTTCAAGATTGGCTCTTGCGTGTGTCTGGTTTGCTTTGGCTTTGTTCTTAAAATGTTCATCAGCTGTAATATGCGAGTATTCTGAGACTGAGAAAGCAAATTGAGTAGTTGACCAGACCCACCACCCTTACTGCAAAATAGTTTGGATTGGTAAGCGACTGTATTTTAGCCTTGTCTGAAGAATAATGAACTTAGATTAGCAAGAGGCTCAATTTCCTCCATTACAAGTTTTGGGTTTTATTTGAAGGATTTTTTTCTGTTTCAATTCATTATTATTTAGAATCTTAGGGAATAATGAAACACCAGAGCAGTCCCCTATATTCTGGGAGCTCTTTGGTGAATTTAATAATTTTAATAATTCTGTTAATGAGTAATTAAAATGAATAATTATACAAATGTTTTGGACTTCTTGTATTACAATTTTGCACTTCTTGATAAGGTGTTTCTGTTTTGAAGTATTTCAGAAACAGTATGAAGCTTTGGCCTCTAAGAGAAAGAGTATTGCTGCATGGTGGGCACCAATTATGGAAAATGTATTGATTCTATAAACCTGGAAATCGTATTGCACAAATTCTCTTCTGAATTATTTAACTGCGTGGATAAGCCATCCATCCACAATTTATACAATTGCTTCAGGTTGGAAAGCCAAAGAATATTCATGACGCATCCATTGTTGTGTTGTCTTATGACTTATTTTAGCCTTAATTTTCTAAACTTCCTGCCTTTCTCTCTTACTTCTCAGTCTTCTCTCGTATATCTCAATCTTTTCTTCTTTCAAGTCTCAGTAAGTCTCCTTTTGAAGTTGCTTGGTCAGGGAAAAGTACTTTGGATAACAGTAGATCATGGCGGTCATCTTTATTCCAGCATTTAAAATTTGTGGAGGAGTAGTGACTTCTTTGTGCTAAAGTCAGCCATGGTTTCAATTTAAAAGTAATGTTCACCTTTGCTGTTTTGGAAGCTTAGGTTTTTATACTGACATATATATATCTCTATATACTGTATATAGATATGAATTCACATACAGACACGCAGAAAGGTGCATGCAGTGAATGTCTTTGAAGCTGTGATGGGGTAATTATAATTGTTCTGTGTGTTTGATGTTAGCTAGCAACTGTAAAATGTTTGTCACTGAATATTTTATGTTGTCATGGTGATTGTGCTTAGGTACAGGAAAAGTGATACAGAAAAATGACCCAATAGTTATTCAAGTATCTATTAGAAGTAGTGCAAAGTGGTTTCCACTATTCAGGTGGAGAATGTGATTATTTAGGTGATGAATGTGTCTTGTTTTTCTGCGTAGAAGTCTATGCAAGAGTTATATATGTTGCAATTTAGTAATATCGCTCGTGAGGCAAACCTAGTTTGTTTGTAGGCATGTACTAATGGGGTCTGAGTTTAGAAGGTGTGCAGGTGGCTTCCCTAACCACTGGCTGAAAGACTGGATTCTCTTTCAGCGAATGGGTTAGTAATCAACGTGAAGCAAAAGTGCAACCCACCTATGCTCCACAGAGCTCTCACCAGCCTGCTCTTGAGAGGTGAAAGACATGGGGCTTAAATGTCCTTTGACAGGAGAGGGAACTGAATTCTTCTGTTTCACATGCTGAGGGACACCGCCATCTGAAGGAAAACCTATAGTTTGGTGTACAGAGAAAATTAGTGGACTTAAGCTGAAAAGTAAATAAAAATCTAAACTTGGATATAGCATGTAGGTGGGGGGCAATATCTTACATGCACAAGAATATACTCTGCAAGATTTTTGTGAGTAATTATTTAAGTAATTTTAAGTGTGGTTCTTATTTATGTGGCAAGCATGGAAAGCTGCATCTTCTCTGCCAGGAGTCTTTCTAATACGTACAAATTATGCCAGAAAAATAGATACCATTTTTGCCAGAACTATGAAGACTTATGTTTATCATGTTTATTGCATTTTTTAAAAATGTGTACAAATGGAAGTGTGGTGCTAATTACAGCAGTAAATGTAGTACTGTGATGTTAGAGGCCATAAGCTGTGGCTTAAAATACTTACACAGTCTGTGTGTGTGTTGGTGTATTGGAGCAGATATACTAGGCTACACGCTTCCTGTGCCATGGCTGTTGCAACTCTTCCACAGTTGTGGTAGTGGAAATATATGTACTTAAGTAACCCTGCTGCACAGTTTTGCAGTAAAGTGTTCTGAAATATATACTCCGTCTATATGTGTAACCAAAGAATTTTTGTTAAAACTGAAGAGGACCAGAGCACAGGCTTAAGTGATACTTGATAATTGTCAATGCTGATTTTTTTTTTTTAAAGTTTTTATTTCCTTGGTAGAATAATTGCTATCACACTCCTACCACTGCTTTGCCCTGTCCTAATTAATCTTTCCTCAGACAATGCCTGAACATAGGAAGGGGATAACATGAATCACTGTTCCCACTGAATAGGCTGGGTAAAGCCTCTCTTTTCAGAGGAGGAAGAAAGTTCATCTGCATGAGCTGGTGTCGTTCTTGATTTATGTAGATGTAACTACTGTGGCAGTGATGCAATTGATAGAGTATTCTGTAAAGCTCTTCATATTTTAAAATAAATCTGACTGTGAAACTGCATATCTTCTTTGCGGAAACTAATTTTCTTCCTTCTCAGATGTCTACAGTGTATAACTGAAAATCGGAGGAGGAGGGAGGGGAAAGTTTGATCATGTTATCTACCCTAGTATTTTTATCTATTGAAGAGATACTGGGCTTTGGGAAAATGTTTGTTTCCAGTGTATTATATTTCAGTACCCACATCACTCCTACAGTCGAAGAATAAAGCTGGGACTTTTTTATATTAAAAGAAAAAAGTTGCCTTCAGCTATTAGTTTTCCTGAATCCAAAGAGATGGGTGGGGTAGGATCAAAAATACTTGCTTGATCAAAGTTATTGGCTCTGAAGGTATCCTTACCTATGTAAGGAAGATGAAAGGTGTTGTTTTTATTGCACGCTAGTAACAGTGTAATTTTGAACTAATTGGTGTTGAACTGCCAATCACCTAGGGGGAATGCAAATAGATACTCTTACAATTTCCTTTGAGGTACTGAAATCTTATGTCGGGGCTCGAAGAAAAACAGAATAATACCGTTAAATTGACCTTAAATGAGCTGCTTTGTGGCTTTCTTGGAGAATCCCTTCTAACTTTTCCTTGCTAGTCCAAACAAGTCTCGTCTACCAATTTGATTTATTGGCTAGACAGCGCTGACATTGAACTTTGTGCGTGTTTGAAATAAAGCTAATGTTATAGAGCTTTTAAGAATTTAGCTGCATCCTTTTCAAATACTTTTTTGACTGATCTGAAACTTTGCCTTCCACTCTCATAAAATACCCTTTTGTATAGCAACCTGTTGTTTGCTGCTATTTTTAAGGAGGAACTACAACAGCACTTAAATATGATTCAGAATTTCTACTGAAGTGTTTCTTGGGCACCTAATGTGATCACGCTGACTTTGTTGGAAAGACTTCCATGAATATCAGTGTTTTGAGCTCTGGATTTTTATATTGAGGCGGGGGAAACAACATATATCTGGAATAAAGATTTTCCTCAGAGACTCCTAAATCAATTATGGAGAAGAAAATGTCAGATGCTAACTTGAGTTTGCTCTCTTTTTTTTCAACTGCTTCCATTAAAGTTTGTGAGACTTTTTTCCACTGAGCTCTGTAGCTATCCTTTTTCTCAACTCACAGTAATTAGTCATTCCATAAAACAGATGTTTTAGACTTTTTCCAGAGGGAATACATCAGCACAAAGCTTGTTTTTATAATGATAATTAGATTTGGTTTTTTACCCCCCCCAACTTTTTCTGAAAACCCACATACTATGATTAGTTATTTAAAAAGCATTGAGAAATTAAACTGACATTCACTTGAAGTACCTGCAATATGAGTAGAAGTTGTTACAAAACAGCATTTGTAGGTTTTACTGGTTAGTCCTGGGATTTGAGATATTTATGTATTTGAACACCTGTAAATACTATCATATACACATTATGTCACTGATATCAAAGATAGAAGTTTAGGCATAGCACAGAGGTTATGTGTTATACACAAAAATATGTGTGAAAGTGGCATGCAATTAAACATTTAAAAATTAATTTTTTTGGAACAGTTGGATACCTCATTGGTAATTTGACTGCACTGAGCAAATCAGTATTAATACTCTGAAATAAAAAAAGTTTTTTAAAAAAAAAAAGTCCAAGAAATACTCTTGTATGTCTTGGTTTTCAGATAGGACCTCACTGTGCTGGAATAAGGAGAATATTGAGGCTGGATGGGATGAGAAATTTACCTTCTTATCTTGTACTGAGATTGCTGGATGGATGAGCAGACAACAGGAAATCAGGAAATAATGAGACTGGACTGTAGTGTTAGTGTGCCAGCAACCTAAGTCCTATTTAGTTTTTGTAGGCAAATGATCAAGAGATGAGATAAAAGCCTGGACAAGACTATTGATCTCATAGAAATTTATTAGAGAATGTTTTTTAAAAAGTATCTGGAGCATGGTGCTATTACATGTTAGCCTGCAATCAAAGGTGAGGCCAAGGGTAGGGAATGACCAACAGATGAAGGGTGTCAATGTAAATGGAGGAAGAAGATAACAGAGAGCACTTAGGGTTTGTTAAGACCTTGAACTGTCACTGCCACAGTGTTTTTGCAGTGTGAGATTGGCCTGGAATAGGTGGAGGAAAATATGAACCCTCTTAACTTATTTTTAGGTGAGATTTTTTGGGAATAAAGAATGAAAGTGGAGAAGATGAGTGGAGTGTTTCTAACTTACCTGTGGAAGAATATTTCCAGTTTGTCATTGCAAAGAGTGAAAAAGCTAAAGTGAAGTAATGAGATCAGAACTGAAACAGCAGATCTCTAATTGGCATGTCAGAGCTGTATTATTGCTTGAATGCTGTGCAGTGTTTGTAGGGGAACTGGAATCAGGGAGAGAAACCATGGTGTGCTTGCACTGGAAAAGATGTATGGTTGAAGAGGAAAAGGATGGAGAGGGAGAATGGGCTGGGTTTCCTAGAGCCTGTGTAGGGATAGGAGGAAGAGTTACTGAGCATCTTTGAGGCAGAATGTTAGCAAAGGAGAGAGGAATTAACATTATGGTTGTCACTTTTCACCTGATGGAGAGAAGAGAGTTTGAGGAGTTTCACAACAGTGACATGCATATGCTGTAAACTGTAAAAAGGAAAGTGAAAGAATATGGTGTCATGGGTGGTTGAGGAAGATCTGATTGTGGTTGTCAGAGGGAGCTCTGCGGCACAGAGAGACTGACCGAATCGGGCAAAGTGCTATGAGCAGAAGCTAGGTTGACGAGCAGGTCAGCAGTATGGAAACTGAGTTTGCTGAGTAAAAAGGACTGGGGAAAGGGAGGGAGGGGCAGAAGCTGAAACTGGAGATCTAGCCACCAGCTTCCTTAGTTTGGAGGCAAAGGTCCACTTTTTCTTTAAGCTGCTAAATAATAATGCCCTTGAAGGGCATCCAGAGATTCTTTACATCATTGATATACAAATCATACAGAGATACAAGAATGAGGCATTTGAGACCTCCTGTGTTGGGCTCCCGCACCATAACTGGTTTTTGGACCTGTGCAACATTTCAGCAGTAGCTGTTGTCTTAATTCTTGCAGCATCTGGTCAATAGAATAGGCAGGGATCAGAGAAGGTCACACTGTGAAACCTCTGATGTGTTGAACTCTGCTGGTTAGACAGAATTCGAGGGTTCTTGACTAAGCCTCTTGTTTTTTGAAAAGCCGTTGAAGAGTTTCAAAGAAACATCTGCAGTTTAAAGCGAGAATTGTTAATGGAATGCTTCCTAAATCTGAATTGTCACAGTGTGTCGTACAGTACCATGGTTAGTCTTATCCAAAAGAAAATACTGTCTTCTGTTTTGAAAGGTGTATCTTCCACGGTGGAATACCAGACAGTAGAGTTGGAACGGGAGCTTGAAAAAGTGAAAAGCAAGAAAATGAATCTAGGTAATAAACTTTTTTCTACTGTTTCATGTGGATTACAGTTTAATATATGCCCTTAAGATGCTGTGCTTAGCTTGTAGCAGTCACTTGGTTGATTCCACTTTGTTCTTAACCAAACTTGTGTGTTTGCAGTCCTTTCAAATTGTCATAGTTTCTACAAATACATTACATGGAACCATTGCACCCCTGTAACAAACAAATTTAAGTAGGGAGTCTGATTTGGATCTTATTTTTAACATAATTTTAGAGAAATTGGAACATTCAACTTCCTTGCTTGGAGCTCAATAGCATGGTCTTTTAATACATAGTGATATGCTTATGATTATTTGGGGTAATGTAAAACATTATTTTCCTCTCTGGTTTTGAATTATTGATGTAAAAATCAAATTGTGTTTAAGAACAGTAAAATAATTTTTAGCAGGTTTATGTCTTTTAAAACTGAAAAGTGATGCTTCTGGTAGTGGCAGCCACTCTACAGGAATCTCCTTATTTATTCAAAGCCTTGCAGGATTTTGCATTGATTTATCAAAACTAAGACTGTGGTAAGAAAAAGCTGGGTTTTCTTTTTAGACATACCAGCGATGTCCAGTGAGTTAGTCTTGTCTTTCTTGCCTTATAAGAGGAAAATACTCTTTAAATATTTAAAATTCTGTTCTGTCCCTTTACATCATACTAAAATGTACATGTATACAGCATATTTTTAAATTTTTTAAACTTTAAATATTTTAAACTTTGCAAAACTGCTGTATGCCATGGAAAAAAAACACGTTATGGTGAAACATGCCTGTAAACAAGAAAAAATCTGCTTCTCTGTCTCCCCAGCCTTTCTCTAAAGAGTCTTCATAGTTTTGGCATTGCTTTGTACAGCTCTTCAGAGTGGATATTTTTATGAACTAGTTGGTGGCGGTTCAAAGTAAGATTACTTTTGTCGCCTATATTTGTAATGAGAGCTTAGAGATAAGTGAATGGCTTTTATTTGTTTTATTCTAAGGTCATCTATGGTATTAAGCTTCTGTTTTTCTCTTCTGAACAGAACGGCGTAAAAAAGCTTCTGTTTGGGAAAGGAATTTGGTCTATCCAGCTGTTATGATACTGCTACTGATTGAGACAGTAAGAATTTTTGCCTTCTCCTCACCCCCCCGCCCCACCCACCGCCACCCAACCCCCCCCCCGCCCCCAAAAGCATGAAGAATTCTTTGGGGGAATAGTTTTAAAATTTGAGTGATGTCTGTTTAGGCAACAAACCTGATACTCTTCTTGAGCATTTTAAAAAAACTTAACATCATGAAATCTGGTGGGGATAAATGTATACATTCTAAAAATGTGGAATACTTTTAAATAACAAGACTGTTTCTACTTCTTTATAGTCCATCTCAGTCCTCTTAGTTGCTCTCAACATTCTTTACCTGTTGGTTGATGAGACTGCAATGCCAAAGGGATCAGGGGTAAAGTAAACTTCTCTTACGGTTTTTATAACTTTAGTAGAGCTGCGGAGCCCTTACCAAAGTGCAAGTGAGAACTACTGCTTTAATAGCATTCAAACTAGTGAGCCTCAGCCTTGACTTTGCTTCTCTTGTTTGGTCCTGTGCATGCATAAACACTTATTATGTCTCATACTACAGTGAGTTCTTAATAAAACTCGTTCAGAATCTTTATGAAGATACAGTGATTCAGAAAAGTAAATCAGTAATCTGGAGTTTTCATTTTACTTACTTATGTCTCCTACTTTTATATGGACTAGAAATCTTCCATTTAAAAAACTATGTTAAAAACCAATATGAAAAGCCTGTCTTGGATTGTGTTCCTCTTAGAAAACATACATTTTTTTCCTCCATTATTATAAAAATACTTCAAGAAAGTAAAGAACAGCACATTGAGTAGTAGTGTCTTTAATCATAAGAGTTTTTTTATTCACTTGGTGATGTTTTCCCCTGCGTATAGCTGTGTATGAGCTTGCAGAGCTATAAAAGGTGTTTAGTGGTGATGGACACTCTTCCGGTGGTATTGTGAACAACTAAAAGTGTCTTCTTTTGAGACATGTTATTTTAGTTCCCAAAGTAATGGAGCATGTATAAAATACAGCATGATGGGTAGATGCAGTGTGCATAAAATGTGAATCATTATAACTTCTGTCTTAGGAATACATTTCACTCAAATTTGAAAACTAGCTGATGCAATTGCACAGGATGGGAGACTTGCAGGTTAGAACATCAGACTGCCCCTTAAATACTGAATTGAGAAAAGGCAGTATTTCATGTATGGTGTCAAGTTTTTTGGTCCTGGTAGAAGTTAACTTTATGAACAGTTGCATGTATCTTATTAAATTATGCAAAGTATTTTTCTCCTTGTAGGGGCCTGGAATAGGAAATGCTTCCCTATCCACCTTTGGTTTTGTGGGAGCAGCACTTGAAATCATTTTGATTTTGTATCCTTTCTTTAAGAATTCTGTCTGTTAACAAGTATTCTGTCTGGTTTTCTGGGACACTGGTAATTTACTAAGACATTTGCCTAGAAAGAAGAAAGAGATAGGTCAGTCGTTCTCAAGCTCTTGAAGTGTTTTTGTTTTTTTTTTCTTTGGTTCTTAAGACTTTTAGGAGACTGCTGAGAACTTGAGTGAAACTTGCATTCCTTGGTGGTTCCTTTTTCCTTGATTCTCACAGCTATCTTATGGTGTCCTCTGTCGTCGGCTTCTACAGTCTTCGTTTTTTCGAAAATTTCACTCCCAGGAAGGATGACACAACTATGACAAAGGTAAGGTGAAATCTGTGATGGTGATGGCCCCCTCCTCTCTTTCTTGCCACCCAAGACAAACTGACTCTTTTAGTTAGTAATTGCCCTGAATGGCTCATTTGCAGTGATCAGTATTTGTTTGTAAGCTGCATAAACACAAACTGGAAGATTTTCAAAATGCTGAATGAGTGGGAAAAAGGATGTGCTCTGTTTAGTTTGGATGGCATCCATTCACTTGTAAAAAGCTGGGAATAGCAGAGCTTGTTAACCAGCTATAGAAAAGCTAGTGAAAGAACTTTTTTCAAAGGAAACGTATTGCTAATGAGTAACTTTGATTGTGCTAACTGTACTTCAGGGAGCTTGTTTAAAATGCTCAAGAACAGCAACTTGGTTGCTGGAAGTAATACAGAGAGAGTAATTCAAATTTGAATAATTAAACTAAGACTGAGGAGGTCTATTCAGCAACATTTTGCTGTCTGAGGCTAATTTGACTTTCTACAATTTAGCACTGGCTTCAGAATAACAAATGCTGTTACCTAATGTGGAGGAATATGCTTAAGTTTTTGGCAAAATATTCCCACAGCTGACAAGGGGAGGTGATCAGTAACCAAGGAACAGATGTTGAATTTAATTATCTTTTCAGTGTGCTTAATATTTTTTTTTTTAAGGTAATGGATAAAGAAATTTTTACCATAAATTGTTGGAAGTGAGAAAGTAGGTAAACACACAGAATGGTTATAGTAGATAAGTAGTAGGGAGCTGGAATTTTCTTAATGTTTTCTGTTGATTGTTTACAGTAGACCAGGAATAGTGTTAGAAATAATGCACAAATATCTTTCAAGAAGCTTTCTGTTTTTCTCTTTTGGATTCTGATAAAATTAGAGCTGAAGAAAGTGATCCCTTGTGAGAGAAAGTTTTTTGATTATTCTTTACAAAGGCTTCACAAAAACTAGAGTAAAATCTAACAGCTGTGAAATTTTTTGTGCTGTTTAAAGTAGTCAACAGACATTCAATTGAAAGGACACTCTTTGTTGTAATTTATTAAATAATGCTAATCCTGCGAGCAGTTACATACAAAGCTTAAGCTGATGTATCGGTCGTCTATTCTAAGCCCGTGGAATGCTTCTTTTATGAAAAGTTTGCAGGAATTAAGTAAACAGTTGACACTTTGCAACATGGTAGTTTTGAATTAGTTTTAATCTAAGCATATATAACGCTTTGATTAAAAGCAAATTATTACATATTTGATTTATTTTTTTTAAATTTGTCTCTTGGATCATCTTCATCTTGTGTAACACCATATGGAGAAGTGTGACAGAAGTAAGCAAGGCTAACAGTACATTATTGTAAATTGCTTTAGGTTCAATTTGAAGAATGCGACTTTCAGGAATTCTTTTTCA